GCGTTTCAGCTGAAGATTTGTCCCAAGCTATAAAGCGTGCTGCCGTCCGCACCGGCAAGAACCCTCACCACTTTAGTACACACTCCCTTCGCGCAGGCGGGGCGACCCATATGTACCGCTCCGGCGTGGATGCACTGACGATTCAGTTTCACGGCCGATGGGTATCTGACGCGTACAAGACGTACACTCGACTCTGCAAGGAGTCCATCACTGCGCTGTCAGCAAATATGGTAGCTGGACAAATGGGGGACACAACAATGCATTGGTGAGGGTGACTGCATGACCATTAATGGGGGCACCGCTCTCCTCGTCCCTTTTCGGATCGAGCTGATGGTCATTGCATAAGCTCTCATTAATGTACCTGTTTGTTTGACCCCTAAGTGTGTGGAAAGTACATGTATGCCTATTTTAAAAATTGTCATTTAGTTGGATACTGGACACATGCTCATCTCGCCGATTTTCAAGCTCACTAGTACTGGATTATGGAAATTCCTCCCAATTTTCACGCTGTTCACGTCTCCGGTCGACAATTATGTGGGATGGACGGTGGCGGCTGTCGCACTGATCGCCATCGCCTTATTTCCAAGACCGCAAGACGGTCGGCACGCCACTCAGCGACAGCAAATGAACAAGATCAACCTCGACGCTCCATCACACGGCGCCTTCTACGCTATGCTCATGTCGGTGGCTTCTGTAGGCTACGCATTGGCAGATGCGGTGGCTGGCGATCTTTTCAGTGACGTCGAGACGTACCACTTGGGTGCGCTTAGCTCCCAGCGCGACGGAGACGTGGTGCTTCAGCCTATTATAACAACATACTGAGTCTTTGCCGAGCTACTTGTTTATGGGGTTTGGTTTGAGCGGAACGGACTATGAAGGAAACTTTGACTTTTACACGCAGCTGGTGCTGATTGTTGGGCTCATACAGTTGATTCCGGTGGTGCTGCTAGGCTTCACCGTGAGTGAAACTGCGCCTGATCGATGCTCACTTCGTGAGGCACTTTGCCAGATTTGATCGATGGTTTCCAACAATGAGTTGAATCACGTCCTGCTATATCGGTTCTTGGGTGGTGTCTTTGCTGGTGTCAGGGCCGGCATTCTACTATGCCGGCGTGCAGCCTCTGCGGTGTCTTTTGTGGCACTTAGTGTGGTCTTAAACTGGGTTGACGAGAAGGGCTGGAACGGTACTGTTATCGTCATAGGCACAATCACTACACTCGTCATGCATGTAGGCACTACGATGTTCACGATCTGGGACCTCGTACGCAGTCAGTGATTATGGGTCGGCTTGCCCGTGATGAGGGCTATTCCTTCGGCTCTGGACTACACAGTCGTGGCGACTGAGGTGACGGATCCGACCACTCGTTTGGGCCATGGGCAGGCTGGTGACGAGTGTGTCGGGGCCCTCTTGGTCTCGAGCTGTCGAAATTCGACGAACGTCGGACACGTTTCAGGCCCGGGACGAAATAATGGCGACATCCTTCATTGCGTACGCTATGCAGTCGGCTCTGCTGTTGTGGCTGCTCACTTTGCCGAGGCACGCGAGCGAAGCTCAGCAACTGAAGCAGCGTAGTGGCACGTCGACGATCCAAGGCCTGAGTCTCTTGATACTGCTCGGTGTGACTTTTCCTTTTTGTTGTGGCGGCTCACGTGCTCTCAATGTATGAGCCAACAGCGTGTTTGCACTCGCCCAGTGGCACTGGATTTATTAAACATGTTAATAGCACTGCAAGGTTGTGCATAGGTGAGACGGGCGAAGATTACGCTGGTGTGTACATGTAAATAATTACAGTCAAAACAACGTTTCCCAGACTTATCTGAAGGTACAGGAATAAAATGTGGCAAGGAGTCATGTTGGTCAGCGAAGAAATGTTGCTCTGTTACATGTACTTCCATCGAAAGATGCTGTAGAGACTTGGCACATGCAGATCTCTCTTTTCCTTCTTCGGTGCGCGTTGTGCCGGCATTACGGAAATGTAATCTACATCCATGCTTCTCAAAGGTATCAGCCGTCTCGATACACCGCGGCTTCGTAAGGAACCGGTTTCACTCGACATTCTGGAAGCCTGCTTTCGCAGCTTGACGATGGCTACACCACGTGAGCAAGCTTTATGGGGGGCGATGTGCTTGGCGTACTTCTTCCTCCTACATCGATCGGAGATCGTGTCAATCCGAGGAGGTTCTTTCAAGTGGTCTGCACTTCGAGCTGAAGACATTATAACTGTCGATGCGACGGGCAGGCCAACCCAGGATCCATCGCAAGCTCAGGGTGTGTGGATACGGTTGATCGGTTCGAAGACAAACCAAGGCGGAACCTCTACGACAAGAATGCTCTCACGCTCTGGCCATCACTTCCTTTGCCCTGTTTTCGGATCTCTTGTACTTCTTCAAGCAAGGAAAGGTCTTCCGGTTAGCATTCCAGCCGCGGTGCTCATATCACACCGAGGAGTCGCAGCCTGCGTTTCAGCTGAAGATTTGTCCCAAGCTATAAAGCGTGCTGCCGTCCGCACCGGCAAGAACCCTCACCACTTTAGTACACACTCCCTTCGCGCAGGCGGGGCGACTCATATGTACCGCTCCGGCGTGGATGCACTGACGATTCAGTTTCACGGCCGATGGGTATCTGACGCGTACAAGACGTACACTCGACTCTGCAAGGAGTCCATCACTGCGCTGTCAGCAAATATGGTAGCTGGACAAATGGGGGACACAACAATGCATTGGTGAGGGTGACTGCATGACCATTAATGGGGGCACCGCTCTCCTCGTCCCTTTTCGGATCGAGCTGATGGTCATTGCATAAGCTCTCATTAATGTACCTGTTTGTTTGACCCCTAAGTGTGTGGAAAGTACATGTATGCCTATTTTAAAAATTGTCATTTAGTTGGATACTGGACACATGCTCATCTCGCCGATTTTCAAGCTCACTAGTACTGGATTATGGAAATTCCTCCCAATTTTCACGCTGTTCACGTCTCCGGTCGACAATTATGTGGGATGGACGGTGGCGGCTGTCGCACTGATCGCCATCGCCTTATTTCCAAGACCGCAAGACGGTCGGCACGCCACTCAGCGACAGCAAATGAACAAGATCAACCTCGACGCTCCATCACACGGCGCCTTCTACGCTATGCTCATGTCGGTGGCTTCTGTAGGCTACGCATTGGCAGATGCGGTGGCTGGCGATCTTTTCAGTGACGTCGAGACGTACCACTTGGGTGCGCTTAGCTCCCAGCGCGACGGAGACGTGGTGCTTCAGCCTATTATAACAACATACTGAGTCTTTGCCGAGCTACTTGTTTATGGGGTTTGGTTTGAGCGGAACGGACTATGAAGGAAACTTTGACTTTTACACGCAGCTGGTGCTGATTGTTGGGCTCATACAGTTGATTCCGGTGGTGCTGCTAGGCTTCACCGTGAGTGAAACTGCGCCTGATCGATGCTCACTTCGTGAGGCACTTTGCCAGATTTGATCGATGGTTTCCAACAATGAGTTGAATCACGTCCTGCTATATCGGTTCTTGGGTGGTGTCTTTGCTGGTGTCAGGGCCGGCATTCTACTATGCCGGCGTGCAGCCTCTGCGGTGTCTTTTGTGGCACTTAGTGTGGTCTTAAACTGGGTTGACGAGAAGGGCTGGAACGGTACTGTTATCGTCATAGGCACAATCACTACACTCGTCATGCATGTAGGCACTACGATGTTCACGATCTGGGACCTCGTACGCAGTCAGTGATTATGGGTCGGCTTGCCCGTGATGAGGGCTATTCCTTCGGCTCTGGACTACACAGTCGTGGCGACTGAGGTGACGGATCCGACCACTCGTTTGGGCCATGGGCAGGCTGGTGACGAGTGTGTCGGGGCCCTCTTGGTCTCGAGCTGTCGAAATTCGACGAACGTCGGACACGTTTCAGGCCCGGGACGAAATAATGGCGACATCCTTCATTGCGTACGCTATGCAGTCGGCTCTGCTGTTGTGGCTGCTCACTTTGCCGAGGCACGCGAGCGAAGCTCAGCAACTGAAGCAGCGTAGTGGCACGTCGACGATCCAAGGCCTGAGTCTCTTGATACTGCTCGGTGTGACTTTTCCTTTTTGTTGTGGCGGCTCACGTGCTCTCAATGTATGAGCCAACAGCGTGTTTGCACTCGCCCAGTGGCACTGGATTTATTAAACATGTTAATAGCACTGCAAGGTTGTGCATAGGTGAGACGGGCGAAGATTACGCTGGTGTGTACATGTAAATAATCACAGTCAAAACAACGTTTCCCAGACTTATCTGAAGGTACAGGAATAAAATGTGGCAAGGAGTCATGTTGGTCAGCGAAGAAATGTTGCTCTGTTACATGTACTTCCATCGAAAGATGCTGTAGAGACTTGGCACATGCAGATCTCTCTTTTCCTTCTTCGGTGCGCGTTGTGCCGGCATTACGGAAATGTAATCTATCCCGTAAGCTTTCGTCCTCGTAATCTGTGCGCATATCGCGGCATGCGCGTTGCATAAAGTGCCGTATTCTGCTTCTCCCATCTAAAGATTTTCTGGGGATGGATCACACACGCCACAATCGCAGTTAGCCGCCCCCTCTCACTCGACAATTTATCGACAGCCAACGAACGACCCACGTGGATTTCCATCAGTGTTCTTTAAAAGTTAATACCGACTCCACGAGCCATGGGCCCGTTCGTCGATCCACCCGCAAAAGACCTCATGGAGAGGCCTCGCGCTGGAGTCTCTCTCAGCAAGAACACGCAGTCCACGACCCGGAACACGTAAAAGAGACCAAAATCACACCCGAAAGCGCGTTCACTGTGTTAGGATCTCCACTGCATTCAGAACAGAACACACCACGAAAACTGCAAAAAGCCACAGACCAAAGCGAACAATCGTTCGTGGACATTTGGGATCGGAGGTGGTGCGGTCTCTTCCTCCACAGCGTCGTCGTCGGAATCATCAGCACCGTCCTACCGCTCTGCGTCTACCCGTTTCTCACCTGCAACCTCAACATGGAAGGCACTCAGACGCTATCAGCTCGCACACTCCTGGGACTCCCGTGGGCTTTGAAGCCATTTTTCACACTGTTCACTCACTGCTGTCCGCTACCAAGTGGTTTTCGTCTCCGGTCGACAATGATGTTGGGATGGACGGTGACGGCTGTCGCACTGATCGCCATTTTCTTCCAGGACCAGCCAACGCCTTATTTCCAAGACCGCAAGATGATCGGCACGCCACTCAGCGACTTGTCACCTCAGCAGATGAACAAGATCAACCTCGACGCTCCGTCACACGGCGCCTTCTACGTTGTGCTCATGTCGGTGGCTTCTGTAGGCTACGTCTTGGCAGACGTCGCAGCTGACGAACTGGTAAATGACGTAGCGAGTGGATATTACAGCGCCTCCCCGTCTTCTCACATTGGGGATGACGTGCTCCAGTCTGTTCTGAACAAATACAGAGTAGTTGCCACATTAGGAAGCTTCTTGTTCATGGGATTCGGCATGAGCGGATGGGACTATGGTGGAGACTTCGACTTCACGCTGAAATACACGCAAGTGATGCTGCTTATGGGGATACTCTCGCTTCTGCTTGTGCTTTTGCTAAGTTTCACGTTAAGTGAGTCGCCACGTGACCGTCTCTCACTGCGCCAGTCTCTGAGCGAGATTTGGGCGTTCATGCAAAACTGCGGACTGAACCGCGTGCTCCTGTGTCGCTTTGCCGGGGGTGTTTTTGCCGGAGTGAGTGCTACAGCAGTGAATCCGGTCGCATTCTACTACGCTGGAGTGCAACCTCTGAACGATACTGTCGTATCCTTTGTGGCCATTCTTGTCGTTTTATACGCACTTAGCTGGGTGGGCAAGAAGGACTGGACCGTAGACTACCGCGCTGTGATTGTCGTGGGCACGCTGGTGACGCTTGCACTGGATTTGGGCGCTACAATGTTCACGATTTGGGACATCGTTCGGTTCTGGATCGGTTTACCGGTTATGGAGGTACCGGTGGCACTAGACTACACCATTACAACTTTTGTGCTGACTGAGGTAGGGAATCCGAGTAGGCGTGCAACTGTGAGCGGGTTGGTGACGAGTGTGTCGTTCCTGGCTGGCCCACTGGGTCTCGCTGTGTCCAAGTATATTGATGTGGAGTTTGACGTGACGAACCAAGACATTATGACCGACACGACAGAGGTGCGGGAGGAAATCATGGTGACGTTCTTCATTGCGTACGGAATGCAGTTGTTATCGCTACTCTGGTTGCTAGCGCTTCCCAAGAGCGCGAGTGAGCCACGCGCTATGAAAACTCACAGCGGTGTGTCAACAGCTCGTGCGGTGTGCTTGCTAGTTTTACTAGGTCTAAATCTTGTGTTTGTGGTGGCGGTGCATACGCTTTCGGTGTATGAGCCAACGTCGTGTAGGCTGCTAAGCTCATAACACTTCAAAAGAAGTGCATTTAAAGTGAAACAGCTAGCTCGAAAACACTGATGCTAATTACATGTACAAAAAATAGTGTACTTGGCCTGACTGCGCAAAATAAATGGATACTCAAATAAAAGGGCGGACTTTTAGCAATGCGATACCATAAAAACAGACGTGATCCATTTTTTTTTGGCACTCGTTATCTAGCCCGACTGGGTGTGAAAGAGTCAGGCTACATTGCCCGACCCAACCCGACGGATGCCCGACTGACCCCGACTAGATAAAGGTTCAGTTGTGCAATCACAGGAAACGCACTCCAAGTATACGTGTCCAGCGCGTATACACGGATATTAAGACTCTGAATCTGACGAAGAGGGCAAAGCATTCAATGTACTCCGTTCACAGCGGATCCAACTTAGCACTCAAAAACGTTTTTCTAAAGTAAAACGATTGCTAACTTGTTAGGCTTACGCGCACATGCAGAGGTATCGATAGCGCAAATACTGTAGTTCCTTTCTGTTCAGGTAGCTAAGTCCGTCGGCCCCAGTAAACACTTCAAACGCCAGCAAGACATACATCCCGCAGTTAAAACTGTCGACCTGAACGCCTAGATTTCCACGATAGGGAGAGACACGATACTTTCGTGGGGCGAAATTTGGCAGCTGGGTCACTATCTTCTCAGTAAGCGCTCGGACTCCAATCATGTATGTAGAAGCCATTGGGTCGTACACGATTGCCTCTGTGCGCTCCACATCCACCATAATACCACACCAATGGTTCTTGTTGCAGCATACAGGGATCAGAATTTTCTCCGTCGACAAGTTCTTGAACATGTCCGCGAATACCGTCATCGGGACTGAGACAGCACCATGTTCCATTGGACCGATAACATTTGTATCCACAGTTATAATACTGGCTTTGGACTCGAAGAGCGAGGACATAACAAAGCTAATAGTATCGTCACTTAGTTGAGTTTTCCCAATGAGGTCCAGTATTTCCGCCTTAACTCACATTAAGGAAAGTTAGCATGAGCTGAAACGATTTTGTACAACGACAAAATACATACCTTTGATGACAGCAGGGGGATAGCCTTCAGTTTTGCTGGAAGAATGGACTGCTCTGTGACTTGAAACGACTGCGGCATGGTGACATCGAAATCAATACTCTCCGCCCAACTCAGACCTCTCTCGATAAGTTTAATGGATTTTGTAGCTGTGTGCCATTTCTTCATGATACCCACCGTTCGTGTTGAATACAAACCAATCCCAGCAATATCCAGCACCACACCCTGTTCGCGTAGTCCTTTGTATTTTGCTTGCAGCTCACCCCCGACTGCACCAGACTCACCCCCGACTGACCCCGATCGACGGCCGTCTAAGTTCGGTTCACTCCCAGTTGGCTCCGGCACATTAGACGCTGGGACGTAATAGCCAATTGACGCGAGGTGGACCATGTACCGCAAATGCTTCTCGTATACTGCTCGAACAGAGTCCTCATATGATTCGTCTGCAGGGTGATGCAAGTCGCCACTTTCTGTATGTTCAAAACACGATAAACATAGAGTTAAGTTTTCATCTTTTCAATTCAACCCAAATTATTCACACCAGTTACCTTCTGATTTATATCGTCGAGGAAAATCCGACCAACATTACCAGGGCGGTCACCAAATTGCTTCATCCACTTCTTCAACCGCTTTTCACTAGTGCTCGGGCCATCTCGCAATTCCCGAGCCTTCAACTTACGAATAAGATTGTGGACATCCTGCGAAGTCGGGTTGCTGTCCAAGTTTTCCGTAATGTACTTCATGATACTCGACTTCTTAGCACCAGCCTGTCGAAGTACATCCACTGTCTGTAAAGCATCCTCATTCAGTACAAGACGATTTGTTGGATGTGCTCTAAACGAATGGTTCGAAAGCCGATGATTGTGTTCCAGTCGGCATCTCGTTATCCTCACAGCGAAGATCATCTTCTCAGAATCCACCACCTGAACACAGGCATTTATCTACACATAATCAATCACATAGAGAGTGGTAAGACCTCATTTGGATTTCCATCACGACCAGACAAGTCTCAATCCCGATTGAACGAACCCGACCAAGCCCGACCAAGCCCGACCGAGCCCGACCGAGCCCGATCATTCACTTTACCTGGCCATTGCATCCTTTCATCCTAGACTCCTGCCGGGGTCTCTTGCTCGTGGCCTGGGACTTAAATTTCCCGGAATAGGTGCAAACAAAGGTCTTTGCGTATTGCACCCACTCGTCAGGAAGTTTTTCCGCCTTTGACTTTGTGCGGTCGATCCGTGCGTTGCGCTCTGCCACAGTCGTATTTGTCCTCACCCTGAAAATCTACAGATAAATTCATAGTGCATGTCAGCCAAAACGTATATACACAGCTATAGAAAACACGTGCCTGGAACGTCTGTGCTTGGTATACGGCCAGATAATCTTCAAACACCTCCCAGGAGGGAAACTCAACCTTCTTAGGCGCCAAGGCGAGTACGCGGACGGAGCTACCACCTTCGCTTGTGCTGCTGGTGGATTCCGGCGGATCGGAGCAGCTCACTGGCTCCAACGGAATATGTGTCGTATTAAGCTCACTCACGACGGGGGAAGGCGCCCAGACGTCAGCAGGAGGCGCATCCGAACTATTACCCTCGCTCTCATCGGACTCCCACTCAGCTGAATGAGTAAGAGGGCGCTTTTGCGCTGCGCGCGTGCGGAGATCCATGCTTGTCGCTCACGCTCTCCCCGTTAACGAATTGTGTGGCTCACGGTGGTATACGATGTATACTGTTGTACGGATGAACCAGCTCGGTAAGAGAAAGGGATGCGTAGGGGAAGGGCAATCCCAGTCGGGCAAGATACCCACTCTCTTTTTTTTATAGCAAAATACCTTCAAAACTTCCACTCTTTTCAAGCCTAACCTTCGAGTCCATGTTTTTCTCAGTATGTTTTTTGTAGTTTTTAACCATGATTGGCCATGTTTGTAATATAAAATATATTTAGGGTTTTAAATTACTGATTTGTTTTTGTGGCCACTCAACTTTCTGCCGCGCGTGGCGAGAAGCTCGCCGCTCCCCCTTCGGCTCTCTCAACGCAACTAAGCTCACTGACCTGCCCACGACAGTTTGAGTACGCTTTCCCCCTTCTCCCCCACAGTGTGGCTACCGGTACGTGCGCTGTTCGGACTCCAAGGCTTATATCGCATGTAACGTAACGTTTGTTTGCTTTTCCAGCTTTGGCAGTGTAGCTCATTCCTTCCGCCGCTACCCAAACGGCTTCTCCACTACGTCCGTGATCTAGAAGGCTGTATCTCATACGAATAAAGGGTAAGATTCGAGTATACATGCAGTTACTATGCTTAACAGTACGAAAGGACTATATTTTGACGATGACTATGTCTCAGAGAAGGATTCGAGTTATCAAAAAGCGTTTCGTGTTTGAGACACAACGGCTGCAAGTGGCAAGTGCTACAACGGTCGTATGTATACACGCAATGTCGGAATGACGATTAATATGCTTTTTTTCTAAATTATGTTTTTATGCTGTTTTTGTACATGATTTAGTCATGGTTCGTACGAAGAACACTGCAAAGATTTTGCGAGCGCTTGAGATAGAGGCAACCACCAGTAGCAGCAGCAGTGATGACGTGTGACGGGGTAAGAGATACCGTTACTAGCCTACACTATAGTGCGGAGGAAGCTCGCAATAATAAAACCAAGTCTTAGGTTTGTGTCAAATTAAACTCTGATTTATTTAGGACCAGGGCGGCTACCCCTGGCCTCGTGTGAACCACTCAAACACATGCCTTCATCTGATTGGTCAATAAGTGAGTCTGGCTCCTCACTATCAACCAATCATATGATGACACCTTGGCACACGCTACCCGTGTGCCACTTTACCTACTTATGTAATAACTAAAGAAATATCTACCTACTTATGTAATTGGAGGTGGGCCCATTACATCGCCCTCCTCTCTAAGTTGCGCTTACGCAACATAAGCGCACGGAACACATTTGAAGAAAACTCGAAAACCCAACAAGGCGGAGACATCGGAGACAGCGCGAAGGGCGGCGGCGCCAGCGCGTCGCTGGCGGTGGTAACAAGGGCAAGCCCAGGGTCGACAGGTGCGCCATAAGCTCTGGATGTACTGCGAGGACCGTCACTGCGCGCCTCGGCTCCCAGGACACACATCGACGAAGTGCCCAGCGTACATGCGACTTAGAAGACTCCAAGCTGGGGGCACTTGGATCACGGACACGAGGAACCTCACGAAGCCGACTTCGTGGCGCAATGGTCAATGCATGGGGCTTCCAGGCAGGACGCCAGGGTTCGATTCCCACCAGGCGCATTCACTCACGCACACGCGAGTGTTGTTTTGCTGCCAGAACGGAATAGCTTCGAACATCTCGAAGACATGAGACTTGTCGACGGAAGTCAACCACTTGAGCAACCCAAGTGAGCATCACGCTGTCACCGCTGGTGTCACCAGAATCAGGTACTCGTTGGCCACCGTGTCGCCGCTGGTAATCGAAGTCGTTCCGGCGCCGTCGTAGCGTGTCACCGGTTCGATGTCGCCGGTGGTTTCTTGTTTTCATTCTTGCACTGACAAGTTGTGTC